GAAGGAAAAAAAAAACCATCTTAAAGAAAATTCCTGCCTGGCTCAGATGGCCCCGGCAGACAGAGAGCCTCTCAATTTAGCTCTCCTCAGAGCTCCAGCAGCACAGCCAGCCACGGGCCCACAGACAAGGGCGGTTCTTGCGTGCCCTGCGGAATCCATCTTGCCACTTCTGCAAGATGGAGCCTGGAGCTGCCCGGAGGACAAAGGCTGTTTCCAGAGCCAGCCTTCTGATGGCAGGGCTGATGTCCTGTGCCTTGTCATCAAGGGCTGCAAGAGAGAGGAACAGAGCCATGGTCAGATCTGGATCTGCAGGGACCCGAGGAGAGCCCCGTGCAAGGGCCAACGCAGGTGGCTCTGGCCATGGCCAGGAGGGAGCAGGGACCAAAGGGATCAGCCCAAAGCCACTGGACACTATTGGCACTCGTGCCCCTGAAATCTCTGTGTGTGCCCTGGCCACACCAGGCCTGGTCCGCACAGGGAGCAGAGCCCTCGGCAGCCGGGGCAGGGATTGCAGCTCCCCTTGGCAGCCGGGGCTGGCAGCCCGCTGCCCTCACTCACCCTGACAGATGCTCTGGAGCTCTCGTTTGTTCCCCCGGAGGTGCTGCCCGGCCATCCCTGGGAACACAGAGCCTGTCAGGGTCCCGGCAGCACAGCTTCCTGCTAGCGGCGCTGCCAGCCCTGGGGCCACACGGCCTCCTGCCCCGGCAGGGCTCAGCCCCGGCCCTTGCCGCATCCTGACTCAGCCCAAGGGCCCGGCTGCCAGAGGCCGGCAGCAGCCCCGAGGGCAGCCGGGGCTCCAGGGCCGGGGCAGCAGCCGGGGCTGGGGCCGAGCTGCGGCGGGGCAGGGAGGGAGCCCAGCCCGGTTCGTGGCTCACCCATGAACCTGATGGCCGCTGCTCGCAGGGGCTCCTGTGGGTTGTGCAGGTATGGCAGGGCCTGGTGCAGGTGCTCGGCCGCTCGGCTCTCGTCCTGTGCCAGCTGCAGAGAGCGGCAGGAGGGAAGGGTTGGCGCGGGCTCTGCCCCTTGGCCGGGCGCTGCCTGCGGCCAGCCCGGGCCTCCCGTGCCCGCCCAGCCCTGAGGCACCGGGCAGCAGCCGCTGGCGCCGGGCTCTGGAGGGGGCAGAGGGCCGGCTGCTGCCCGGGGAGCCGCGGTGCCGGCCCGCCCCGCAGCCCCAGTGACTCGGGGCTCCATCAGCAGCCGGCTCAGGGCCACAGGAGCCTGGAGAAGAAGCCGTGTGGCCCCGGCTGCGGCACTGGGCAGGGGCCCAGCTGCCAGCCCCATGCACCGAGCGCCGGGGACAGGGGGCTTCTCCAGGCTGAGGCTGGGCCTTCCAGGCCGTCCTTACCAGGACCTCAGCGAACTTCCACAGTTGCTTATCCTTCACAGGATTTGCAAGATCTCTCCTCTTCAGGACCTTGACCATGCTAAGCAGTGCTCTCTGAGAGGCCTGGAAAGCAGCAGAGACCCTCAGATGGCCCCACAAGCCAGGGCACAGGAGCCGCATTCGTGTGCCAAGGCCTGCAGGAGGCTGCAGCTGGCAAGGTGCCAGGCCTGCAGGAGGCAGCCGAGCCCCCTCCCTGGGTGACAGCAGTAGCCCGGGAGTCCTCACCTCAGCCACCTGCTGGTTCTCATCGTGGCAGTGGAAGAAGAGTGGCAGCAGGCTCTGGTGCACATGTGACTTCAGGGCCTCTTTTTCCTTTTCCACGCGAACAGTCACCAATGTTCGGAAGAGCAAGATGGACACCAGCTGCACCTGGCTATTATCCTATATGAAAGGAAGAGAAAAAAACCTCAGCCCTGTCGGCACGGGGCTCAGCAAAGCACAGGCCTGCAAATCCCCAGGGCATCAAGTGTCCAGGCAGCAGCCAGTGGCCTCGGCTGGGGGCACAGAGCCTTACGTAGTCAAAGAGTGGCAGGAGCGCCTCAGCCAGCTGCAGGGCAATGGGGCCGGGTATCAGCTTCTTCGTCTCCAAGACTATAAAGCTGAGCACCATGACTGTCATCCGAACTCTTTCTCCATCTGCATCCTGCAGGAGCTCCACAAGCCTTTCCGTCAGGCTCCACATTTTTTCAGTCTGTGCAGAACAGAAGTCTATGAAACGCCACCCTGCTGCTGCCACGGGGTCAAGAGGCCAAAGGTCTGTCCCAGAGCACTCAGGCAGCTGAAGCGGGAGGCAGGAGAGCTGGCAGCAGCTGCCTTTTTGCCCAAAGCCCAGCCAAACCCATGTGACTGCATTCCCCAGTGCAGCTTCTGCCACTGCCCACTTCTCACCACTGAGGGTTTGTCAGTAAGCTGAAGTAGAGCCCTGAGTGCCAGGTGACGCCTCTCTTTGCACTCGCTTTGCAGGTGCATTGACAAGATCTCCAGGATTCTGTTAGCACCACGTTCAGTCAAGTCCAGGCGCGCCAGGACCTGAAAGGCACCGGGCAGTGACTGGGGAGCGAGCCGGCAGGAGCATGGAACCACACAGGGCTGGGCCCAGGCAGCAGCCCAGGGCATGGGCACCGTCCCAGGCAGCTGCAGCTATGAGAGGGCCGAGAGGTGGCAGACAGCTCTGCAGGGAGGCAGTTCTGGCCATGGGGCTCACCTCCACAAGGAATGCCAGGGCAGGCAGATCCCAGCGTGCCTCCTGTGTGCTGAGTAGCCGGAGCAGGTAGCGAACGATGCGGAAAGACAAGCGTCTGGAGACACAGGATATCTCCCTGGCAGGTGAAAAAGTAACAAAGCCTGTGGGTAAGGGACATCTCCCAGGACTGATTCCCAGAGTTCTGGTGTTTGATCAGCATCCTACAAGGGGACCTGAGCCCTTGGGGAGGTGGCTCCATGTGGGAGCCTTCCTCTCCCAACCTTTTCCAGTCTCCTTAGCTGTCCCTCGGTGACGAGGCCCTCTGGCCCACGACAATGGGGACTGTGTGGGGCAACCTCAGCACGGGGCACAAATGCCAGAGGCAATGGGGAGAAGGGGTCTCACCTGGCCAGGAGACCCACAGCATGATGGTGGGTGTCAGCGCAGAGCAGCGTGTCCCAGCCACACTTGCGTTCCATTGACAACACCACTTGCTCACGATGCATTCGGCAGAGTAGAGACTTCAGGGCTCGCACTGCAAACCTGTGTGCACAGCAAAGCCCAGGTCACGCTGGGAGCACTGGCTCCTGCCCTGCGGACATGGCAGGAACGGGAGGAGTGGGATGGAGCACCTGTTGGGGCTGATGGCAAGGCCGTGTTGCTCCTGGCATGCCTTCCAGAAGGTATCAACCTCCTGTGGCATCTCCAAAGTGCTGAAGAACACTTGGAAGAGCAGATGGACTAAGACGCGAGGAAAATACGCCTTCACTACCCGTGGGACACAGGGCACCTGAAGGAACTTCCACATCACCACTGTTGCCTGCAGAGGACAAAGCACCCAGGGATAGTGCCCAGTGCCAAGGTATCTGTGTGGCAGGGCCTGAGCGTGGCAGGGAAGGCCAGGGGAAAGCCTTGGGGGGCTCCACGCCTGGTGCCCCTGAAGCTGCCCCTAGGCCAGGTTTCAGCCCAGTGCCTGAGGCAGGGAGATGCAGTGGGGGAAGGAGGAAACGGAGCTGCTGAAGAGGCTGTCGGCCATGGGGTGAGCAAAGGCCTGTTCCAGAAACTCACAGCCAGGGCAAAGACACCCGTGTTGTCCCCATCGGAGGTGCACGTGCTGTGCTCTGGCCAGGTTCTCAGCACATCAAGGAGTATCTGTACTACTGGCTCCACAGTCCTGCTCGAGCACATGATGGTCTTCCACATGGTCATTGCAGCTCTGTGGGGTGACAGCTCTGTCTCACGGGGGTCTCAGACACATCCCCGTGGCCTGGGCAGCAGTGGCGGGGGGAGCAGAGCTGGCTGCCAGCTCTGCCTCTGCCCGCTGCCCCTCGCCAGCAGCAGCACCCAGGCGAGCCAGCCCTGCGGGGACAGGGCCCTGAGGGGGCATGGCATGGCAGCAGGCTCGGGGGCCAATGTAGCAGGGCTGGGAAAGGTCCCAGGTACACAGGACCCTGGAACTCTCTGTTGCTCAGACACCTGGGCAGGGCTGTGCAGGCTGATGGGCTGGGGAGCCCTGCGCCCTCTGGGCACGTGGGCCCCGTACCTGTCACACGTTGGGGCCACACGCAGGAGAGCAATGACCACGTCAGTGGGCTGTGCCTCGCTCAGATCCAGCAGGGTCCTGTTCAGCCTGTGCTCAGAGAACTGATTGGCCATGAGCCACTGGTGGATGTACCTCACCATGGCAGGCACCTGGAGAAGACACAAGGGGAGACGTGGAAAGCTGCCAGAGGGAGTCAGGAATGTCCCCAGCTTCTCCAGAGAAGTGCTTCCCTTGTCACCACGCTGCAATGGCCTCAAAGGCTTAGAGTGATCAGCAGGCGTGGCTTGGGAGGCCAAGCGATCCCTGGAGGATCAAACCACGGCCACAGGCTGCTTACTTGCTTCTGACTGTAAAAACCCTCCTCTACAAGCATATCCAGCAGGGCAGCGGTGGCCTTGGTGTTGAAGATGTATGAATATGGTCTGACCCCAGCGGCCATGGCGCTGGTCCCTTCCTCCCGAATTCTCCTGATGAAGTTGCAAACCAGCTGTAGGAGAAGGGCAGGAGACAGAAACATTGAGAATGTTCCACGGAGTGCTCCAAGCGTGGTGCTGGGCTGAGCAGTGCCAGCAGGCCCAGCCCAGTTGGGGATGGCTGCAGGTACCTGTGCTGTTCTGCGGAAGAGGCCACCGGCAAGGTCTTGCTCTTGTGTCTGGTCCATGGCTGAATCTGGCAAAGAGCGAGAGCGGCCAGAGCTGAGGGGCTGCAGGAGCGGCTGGAGAACGCAGCCCAGCCCTGTGATCCCCAGGCAGGGAGAGCCCCAGGGATGGCCCAGGGGATGGAGCACGGCCACTGCTGGGGGGGCAGCCCCAGCCGCTCTTGTATCCTATCTCCACAGGATAGGGTGGGATGGGATGAGATGGGATGCAATGGGATGCGATGGGGCCAAGCTGTCTGCAGGCACCAGCCCCATGGCCCAGCTCTGCCACTCACCCTCCTCCAGTGGCTGGAACTCCTGCACCTCTTCCGTCTCCTGTGCCGGCAGAGCTCCAGGGCCTTCTTCTTCCTCCTTCTCCTCCTCCTCCACCCAGGCCAGCTTGGGAACTCTTGGGGGTCGCTGCTCCATGGCAGTGCCTGGATTTATTGTACTCGCAAGAGAGATGCCTCGGAAAAGCTCTGAGGCAGCAAGTCCTGCAGTCGTGCCTGGAAGGCACCTGCAAGACTCAAGTTCTCTCAAGACTGCAGGACAGCAAGTCCTGCACTCGGGTCTTGAGGGCTCCTGCCACAAGGACAGGAGGCTCCTCGTCAAGGATTGTGCCCTGGTCTCAAGGGCAGTGACTGCAGGGATGGGCGATGCCTCGGAAAAGCACCGGCTCACCGGGTCCCACAGTCTGCCCTCGAGGGCACCTTAAGAAAAGAAGCCTCGGCAAGGCCACAGGTCACCAAGTCCTGTGGTCTGGCCTCGAGGTCACCTGCAAGAATGACGGCTCAGAGAAGCTCCGGGTCAGACACAAACGAGTGCGCTGTGCGGGGGCTCCTCACAGCACCGCTCTGGCGCGTCCTGTCCCGTCGCGTGCACCGAGCACTGTGGCGTGGACCTGTCGCTGTGGCCAGCTCCTCTGTCACCACGTGTCACAAAGGGCCCTCTGACACCCTGTCCCTTTCCATCCCACGCTGACCATGTCACAAAGGGCCCTTGCAAACACTGCCACGTGCCCTGGTTCTCCCCCCATCCCCCATCCCCCCTCAAAGTGGCCTTGATTGGAAGGAATCTCTTGCCCAAAGTGTCAAAGACAGTGTTGCGGCAATTGTTTAAGTTTAGTTGTTGTTGGAAGTTT